GTCGTCGATATTATAATATGTGTCGTCACCCTCCCCTTTCTTTTCCTTCTGCCTGATATCAGTAATTGTTTCTTGGGTTGAATTTGGTGGCAATGAGAGTGGTGGCAATGATGCCGATCTCAATCTTGGAGGACAAGCCGTCACCTTGTATTCTGGTAGTCTTGGCAAGTCGTCGATATTATAGTATGTGTCGTCATCCTCCCCTTTCTTTTCCTTCTGCCTGATATCAGTAATTGTTTCTTGGGTTGAATTTGGTGGCAACGAGAGTGGTGGCAATGATGCCGATCTCAATCTTGGAGGACAAGTCCCTTCGCATTCTGGTAGAGTTGGCAAGTCGTAGGTATCGTCACAATCGTCTTCATCCTTGCCCTTCTCATTCTTGTGCTTGATATCTTCCAGTGTTTCTTGAGGTGAATTTGGTACTGATGATGATGATAAATATGACGATGACTGTGATGGTGGCAAGGAAGAAACTGAAGACGCGGATGATAAAAGTGGTGATGCTTGAGGTCGTGGTTCTGATCGTGGGGGTCGTGATGATAGCTTCAAGAAACGCCCTCCACTATTCACAAGGTGTTTAAAGAKTTTCCTTAACCAAAATGGACGCTCATACTCGTAGATATGGGGACCTGCAAATTCCTCAGAAACCGAGCTTTCGATGTCTTGTCTGGAGATGGGATTAGTTTCATCAAGCTGCTGAACAACATTCAAATCTGGCCAATTTTCATGTATTTCGTTCTGTTTTATCCAACGCTGAAGAAGGTAAGATTCCCAAGGGCATCTGAAATTTAAATGTTTATTTATGATTTTTTGTCTATGAATGAAATAAAGCCTTGGAATGCTGCAGTTACTAWGAATAATGGTACCAATATATCATTTGCACAAAGTATCAAATCTGGCCTAAACGAATATACTAAGATACGTACTTTTTTGTCAAACAATCGAGCACTAATAATGAAGAAGCTCGTTCTGTAGTTTTTAAACACCAACACTGTGTCACGAGTACGTACACCCAGTCCGGGCATAGGGCAGGTTGGGAAGGACGGCAATTCTCCTTTAAAGCGCCCAAAATCTGATGATCACAAAAAAACACACACACACACACACAACTACTCAAAAACCGGCAGGAGTTTTCAATAGCAATGGAGTAGATTTTGGTGGATGTCAGTCAAGGCTTTTCCTATACAGTCAATTCAAAAAACGTTGTCGTCGACCGGCTCAAGCCTACGCGACTGGACAGAAAGGAATATGGATAAAAATCACTGAAGCGGTTAAATTTTTGTTCTGAATTAATTGTTACCGCTAGTAGTAAGATAATAATGGCAAGAAACAATCCATCAAATGCATGTCTTTGGGTTTAGGGAAAGAAAAACAAAGTAGTTATAATTCAGTTCACAATTTTGAAAATATCAAGGTATTATAAAACGTCTCCTTCAACATTTTTCGCTCGCCTACGAAGGTTCGTGCTGTAAACCAGGCATAACTAGTCAGATGAAATTATGGAGTCAACTCGGTTTCGATGATTGCTACCCAAGGTTCCTTTCGGTTCAGTCGCGTAGTCTTGAGTTGGTCGACGACAACATATTTTGGATTGACTGTATGCACGTGCCTTTGAAAACTGTTTCCCGATAACGTCTTAGGAAAAAATTGATTACAAAAATCCTATCTTGTTGCAACCACAGTAGCTTGTACAACTTTGTACAAAACGTTAAGGAAATCAACAATAAATGATGAAACAGCAATTTAGGTACACTACCTCTTCATTAGAATACTGCGAGAATGGTTTTGCAGTATCGGAATCTTTTGCAAGACACAGAAACATCTCCAAAATTGTCATGCCCAGTGACCAGACGTCTCCAGCTGGAGAAAATATCCTCTCCTGAATGACCTCTTTAGCGCACCTTATAAAAGATCAGTATTTTATTTACCGCCACAGTAAAGGACGGCAGGGAATCCAATCAGTTGGGTGTAAATATAATAACAATGGGATTATCAATGAAAGAGATGGGTTAAAGTACTGAAATACTGAATGGTACTGAAATCAAATAGAAAGAAGAAAACAGTAAAAGAAACGCTACTCTGAAAACTTTTTTTGTTGACCTACCAACGATATACATCTGGATGAACCTCGCCATTCACAACACCAAATGAGGTGTTGAGCTGGTTGCAAGATGGTAAAATGCTTCTAGAGAAGTGCAACCCGAAGATTTTCACCTGAAGAAAGAAAGCTAAATTAAGTAAAAACATTAACAGGGGTATGATGGGGTACCCTATCGTCAGTTCATTGTTTTATTTATTGTTCATTGTTTTGGTACCCCATCACACCCCCTATTAAAACCCCATCAACACCCTCCTAATAGCTATTGTTTTGTAAATCGTTTACTGTCACCCTCACTTTCTTGAGTTATTGCTTATCAAACTGCATTCAATTTACGGCTAGCAAATATTGATTCAGGAAGGCACAGTAGAACAAGCAATCATATAACACACAAATGTTCGTGAGAATACTAACATGATTCTTTTTGACAACCCTGACGCTTTCAGCATTTAAAAAGCAAAGTACGATGTTCTTTTGGTGGAGGTAGCGTAGTGCTTCGGCGATTTGAGCAGCAAATTTAGTCACATCTTCAGGTGTACAATTGTTACCCAAGATGTAATGTCGTAGACTTGGACCCTCGCAGTTTTCGTAGGCCTTGTTGAAAAAATAATTATGAAACTAAAAGATTAAAACGGCTGGGGGAAAATTGCAGTCATTTGCTGCTGTGCTCTTGATACTTACAATCACTCTTCCAGATTTGGTTTTGCGATCTTCTACAACCCTAGCAAGATGCGGATGGTCCAATAACTTTAAGTTTTTCAAATGTTGCTTACTGGTATCCACAAGGCTCAATGATTCTTTGGTTGTGTTTGGTGTTTGTTTCGTCTTTTATTAAGGAAGAACGAAAATTATTACAAAATGTACAACTTTAATACTCTAAGACTATAAGTAAAAACTAAGAAAAAGTGAGCATAAATCTCGTAAAACTGCGTAGTAATTTCGCACCCCCTCCCACACGGAGTTGCATGTTCTTGATATTGATAACCGCGCAAATTCTCGGAAGACACTCTACAAGGTGGAAAACAAAAATTGTTGTGCCTCAAACAATTAACATACTTACAACGTCAATATCTTTGTCTTCCTTTGGCAAAGGTTCTGAAATCAGTCTAAGACGTTCGTCTGCACCTTGTAATGAACGAAATATCAGATAATTTTTCTTTAAGATATTAGACTTAATATTTATAGACTTTAAATG